TAGATGGATAGATGGATAGATGGATAGATGGAAAGATAGATAGATAGATAGATAGATCGATGGATAAAGATATAGATACATATAGGGATAGATAGATAGATAGATAGGTAGATAGATAGATAGATAGATAGAATCATAGATAGATAGATAGATAGATAGATAGATAGATAGATAGATAGATAGATAAATATGTAAAAAGAGGGATAGATTGATAGATGGATGGATGGATAGATAGGTAGATAGATAGATACAGAGATAGATAAAGAGATAGATCGATAAAGAGTTAGATTGATAGAGAGATAGAGAGATAGATAGATAGATAGATAGATAGATAGATAGATAGATAGATAGATAGATAGATTAGATTAGATTAGATTAGATAGATAGATAGATAGATAGTCAAAAATAGACAGATAGATAAGCTAAATAGATACACAAATGGATGAGAAGAGACCGAGAGAGAGAGAGAGAGAGAGATAGCTAGATAAAAAGATAGAGATATAGATAGATCGATAAATAAACAGATAGATAGAGAAATAAACATAAATATAGATAAAGAGATTAATAGATAGATAGATAGATAGATAGATAGATAGATAGAGAGATAGATAGAGAGATAGATAGAGAGATAGATAGGTGAAAAGACAAAGGGAGAGAGAGAGAGAGATAGATAGATAGATAGGTGGATAAATAAAAAGATAGATAGATCGAGAAAGAGAGAGAGAGAGAGAGATAGATAGGTCTAGACAGATAGATAAATAGATAGGTTTGATAAATAGAGAGATTAGATAGATAGAGAAAATACAGAAAACAGATAGATAGATAAATAGATAGATAGATAGATAGATAGATTGATAGAGAGAGAGAGAGAGATAAATAGACAGATAAACAGATAGATAGACAGATAGATAGATAGTTAGAGAAGAGACAAAATAAAAATCGGCGTAAAAACAAGGAAAGAAAGAAAGAAAGGAGTGGGGAAGGAAGGAAAGAGAGACAGAAAGAAAGAATCGCGAAGAAGGAAAAACATATACAATGAAAAAGGAGAAGAAGAGAACAAGAATCAAGAAAATAAAGAGAAAGAGAACTGTTGTTGTTATATGTTTGAAACTTCCGTCCACCGGATTCGCCGGCTGTTCTGGTAACGTACCTTAACTTGGGACTGCATTGCTGATCCTGATTCTACACAGCCGATGATCCACATGGTCACGGTAAAAGGTGCGGAGTCATCACGCCTGCTGCTGGATCTGCTGCTGCATCTGCATTTGTTGGTGCATCTGCATCCTTGCGTAACGGAGCTTCCTTCCAAAGATTTCGCTTCCTATCCGGCCAAGATGCTGAAGAAAAGCTTGTTGAGCCTGAGGCTGGCATTGCCTCGTCACAAGAAGTGCAGCTATGGTTTGATCAATGGCCGATGCTGAGAGCTCCCACGAAGCTGGCTGGCACTCCTGAAGAGCGCTTCTACTTGGGTGACAAGCCACGCATGCACCGCTTTCCTCACTGGGCATGGCCGGCGCAGCTTCGTTTGGGCAAAGGCCGAGCGCCTCCTGTGGCAAGTGACAAGTTGTGACAAGAGAAACACGCCAGCAGCAAGAGAGGCAGAAAGAATCGCTTCAACTTTTACTTTAGCTACGTAGAGGGGAAGCTGCCGCCGAGCTGCAAAGACGGGATCAGCAGATTCCATGTGACCTCACTTTGAGAGTACCGCCACGTTTGCATAAGTTGCGCATGTCCAGTGCGGTGCTCGATACAGTACGGTTCTGAGGGCCTGAGTGCCAAGCTGATCGCAAGACAGCAATGCCACAAACGTGTAACTTGCTTCAACGCAAGCTTGAGCCAACAAAATGCATGCGACTTGGCTTGGACGTTTAATTGATCAGGAATAGCTCTCAAGATGACACTGCAGCACGTGACTAGCATGACTGTCGAAACACTGCAGCCTCAGATTCCACAAGCACTCGGGCAGGTTCTGGTTTCCAGATCTACCTTGCAACTGTTTTTGGAATCTTGCCGCTTAGCGGATGTTCCAAGGCAAACCTCTTGGCAGTACCGATCAGTAGTGCCATCGAGAGCTACCAGACTGCAGTATGAGAGCACTGTGATCCTTTTCACAAATGTAGTGGCTGGTTTGCAACAGAGTTTCTACCGTGACCAGGACTGTCCGTTCTGTGAAGCGGCGAAAGAGTTTGGCTGATCAATCCCTCAAATAGCCAAAGGTGGAGGCCTTGCTGGTGCCTCGCAAGCACACAGCCAATCCATGTTGCCAAACAAAACGAAAAGCGACCGCAAAGAGGCCCGCGCCAGCATCTCCTCGTGAGCTTGGAGATCCTGGCCAAAGACCCCCAGGCTCCCCACCAAGCCCTTAGTGGCCTTCAGGAGCTCGGATCGCTGAAACTCGGTCTCCCGCAGCTTGCCAAGGAACTCCAGGATCTGGAACGCAAAGCAACGCAAAGCAAAGCAAAGCAAAGCAAAGCTCGCAAGGCTTTACACGTCCAAAGCCTTGTGGCTTGCCTGCAATTTTCCAGGCCCCCGCCTTGGGGCCAGGCACGTCCTTGTCCAAAAGACGCACTGCCTGAACGCTCCTTGGAGAGTGCTCTTGGGCAAGGCAAGCATCTGTCACATAAGAAGTTGCAAACAGCAACCACTTGATGATCTCAAGACATTCTATGTCTCTAAAACGGGAAAATTGGCTTCAAGAATCCGAGCCGATTAGGACGCCTAAGGACTTGAATGGGGTTGCTTTGCCTGAAGCATGTCAGCTTAGGCAAACCGTTGTCTTGGATTCTTGGATGTTCGTACGCTGTGAAATACGAGGTCAATTTAATGAAGGACACGTGAACAAACGGCGAGGCCGTACCTTTGGGCTTCCGGCCCATCCAAGTCTATGAGGCCGTGCAGCGGGCTCTCGTCCCAAGTAGCGCAGTGCCTGCGGATCTTAAGAGGCAGCGCTTGAGCAACATGCCATATGCAACGTGATGTGTGATATAATATGATGCATGATGCGATGTGACGCAAAAAAAATGCAACATGATGCGGTCATATGATATGATGCAATATGACGCAGCTATCAAATGTTGACAAAGCAAGAACGTGGAACTTCATGGAACATGTAAACGTTGGCTCGTTGGCTTTGGAGAAAGCACCCAAGCATACTAAGGGCTGGGAGGCGAACGTGACCAAGTACGTCAGCTGGTCGTTCACAAAAAGCATCAGGTGCCCATCGTGGGTGGCTAGTAGCCCGACGCGGTCCCCGCACCTGAGAAGTGCCGAACAAAGGTCTCGTTACCTTGTCGACATGCTGCGGACTTGCCAGAGCACAAAATATCGCGATAAGAAACCGCCGGGCAGGCTGTGATTGCAAGGTGATTGCTTCTTGATGGCTCTGCAAAGCTCGTTTTTGATCTTGGGCAAAGTGGTCTTCACATCAAGGTCAGCCAGGTTGCTGCAGAGCTGAGGGCTGCCAGCGGCCGCCAAGCATCTCTCGGCTGTTCAAATACCTGAATCCCGCAGGGAAGGACACGGATGTGGGAAAGATGATCTCACAAACTTAAGGGACCGATTTGTCACTTGTCGCTACTGAAGTTCTGAAGATCACGCAAATTCCTGCCAGTTTTCGAGCGCCAGACAGCCAAACTCTCTCGCAACATCCAGAGCATCTTCTTGAGAAATAGATATGCTTGCACCCTGGATCGAGGCAATGATGTTTCAGTGCCACACAGAATCACTGTCAACATAGATTCGATCACGCAGAGAGGACAGCATCCGTAAACCAAGACAACTCATTGCCTCGTCCGCAACGCAAATTGCTTTCACCATTTGGTGAGAGCACATGCAGTCGTTCAAAGTGCATGAGCGGCCATATGGCTAAAAACATCTGATGGCAGAAAGCACACACACACACACACGCGCAGCTGCTGATGGTACTGCCAGGTTTGCAGAAGGAAACCAGGATTGCGCAATTGCGCTTGCTTTGTAAGCTAAGCTTTGCTGCTAAAAAACTGGATTCGTTAGATCATGTCGACTCGCAGGGGTCCAACATCTGGTGCAGCACCTCTAACAGCAAAAGGCTGAAGTTCGCAGACCTTCGCACATGTGTTGCACATGCAGTAGGCAAACTCAAGCTGACTCGTCTCTGATTTGCCTATCACCTCCTTGAGATCCTCTCATGCGAAGGATATCCTCAGGCTCGGTGAAACACGTGTGGCCCTGTCTGGCAGGTGGTCTGCTTATGGCTCCAGCAAGCCTCGGCTTGCGTGACTTACCGCTTCAACTGAGCGTTGCAGACCGCCTGTGCCTTGCAAAATGAGAAGGGTCGGAGGCATCAGGCCATCCTTGAAAAGCGGAGTCGCCGAGCTCTTGAGACGCCGTGAGCCTACCTATGCTTGAGTCAGCAAATGAACATCCAGCGCGGGTCTAGGATTGCCTTTGGCAAGGGGCGCGGCGAGGGATACTTGTTGCCTCGGTGATCCCTCATAACCCACAACTGCTTAAACACACAAATCCATGATGCTCATGGATAAAACGTATCTACATTGAACCGTCATGACTGTACCCCTAGAATACTTACCCAAAATGCCAGGTACCATAAAACGTGAGCTGTGATTGCTCATCAAAGACTGTTTGAAACCGTGAAGCAACAAATCAGCACATTCAGCTTAATTGTGGGGAAACTCTATGCTGAGCGCGTCCTCCACACTAAACATGTTAACCAGCTGACAACTACATACAAATGTCACGTGCTGACTTGTCAACCCGTTTGCCAGGACTCAATGTGAGCGGTACCCAACGCATTCTCCTGCTCGAGATGGCTCACGCAAAAACAAGTTGAAGGCAGGCCCTGCATGTAATTGGACTGGCATGCGTCCATCCCAGGCTAAGGATGTGAACATTCCCCGTTTGTGAACCAATACGTCAGCTTCCACATGCTGGGTACGGCCAGCAGGCGGGGGCTTGCAGGTTCCCCAAAAGGCCCACAGGCTGCCCACAGCCAGGCTCACATCTCAGGCACCATCAGACGCCATTCGCAAAAGGTCCACTGCCTTGGCCTGAGGCTCGAGTTGTCTCTCTGGTTGCTTGGCAAGCTGTCTGTGACTGCGGGTTGCGGAGCCAAGTTCGAGTTCCAGTGCCTTCAACAACTTCATCTGACATATCCAAAACCAACCTGACTCACTGCCAACGAACAGTCTGTATCTTGGTTCCTGGGACCCGGCAGAGCCAGACTTGGCTGGGGACATACCACCTGGCGCAAGCAAGTAAAGCTGACCGGAGCGCATACTTTCATAATTGCTTCTCTGTCTGAGCCAACCCTGCCTGTCTCTCTGCACAACGAACATCTACATTGGATAGTTGCTATGTATATATATATATATACGCATATGTAATGTATTTGGCGAACCCCACACGAACTAGGATTCAAGTCAAAAAGGAGTGGCAATGGCGGCACCGAAAGCTTCACTCGGACCCTTTTTATCTTGAGCCAAACCGATTCAAGCGATTCGGGGTGAACTGAAGGTTTGTTATCAGATCAAACCCGAAAGGCCTGATTGGAAACAGTTCGCGCAAACATGGGTTCCGGAGGCAAGGTTAATTAGACACGCCGGCACTACCTACCAGCAGGAAGATGTGGATTCCACGTGGAGGCATTCTTCTCCCCCTTCTTCACTGGACAACTTAGCTACTTAACTATCCGGCCTACATGTCTCGGAGCGTTGCCGCTTCACGACACTGCGCTTAGCAAGTGGAGCTTAGGACACCATGTTCACTTGGTTTAATGCACGGTCCCACTTGCACAGCAGCAACGGCTTGGTGAACACGTCTGCCCGCTGCTTGCTTTACAAGTTGGATCTTCGAACACTTCATACGCTGACCCTAATTCGATCTTCTCAGTTTTTGTGAGATGCCTCAACTTTGGGCTGTAACCTGATGCCACGAGTTGAATCACAGCTGGGTTATCCTGGAAGCGCTCAAGCATAGTGCTGGCAGCGCTTTGCCAAACTGGCCAGCGAGATCAGTTCTGCTGCTGTGATGTTCTTGGCAGTCGTTTGGCGTCTGTCCCCACGCGATCGCCCACAAGGCGTTAGGGCCTTCAATGGACAAAAGCATGCCACTTGTGCTTCTAAACCGCTGGACCAAAAAAAGCAGTTCCGGCGGATCGCTGATGCGTTCTTGCAATGAGCGCAGCGCCCGCTTGACCGATACAGGCAGCACGATAACCTATGGTCGCTTGTCGTCAGCTCTACTCCAAGTAGTGATTCTACGATGTTAAATCACCTATGCCCTTCATGAGATCTGGTCTGCTCAATCTGGCACATTTATTCGTGAGACTACCTCTGAGCAGCAGGGGCTGGCAGCCTTGAAAAGCTTGCACCAATCAAGTTCCTCGTACACTGCGCACGCGTTCCTGATGAGACCCTGGTCGTCCCACTGGCTCGATCGAGTTCGTGCTGTCGACCCTTTGAGGTTCGATCTCCAAGTGTTTTTTAGTTTCCCTGCCAGAACTTATATGTTCTGATGAGCCCAAGGAGCGCCATACGCTTAATTGATGTTGACACCAGTCCTTCCAGTTGGAGTGACTTTTGCTTCCTGAAGCACCGCGAGATTGTTGTCCTTGGTAAGGATGTTGTCTCCCCGGCAAGCAATCCGAGCCTTGAGCTTGCGTAACTTCAGAGTCTCCCAAGGTTTGATCAACAAAGTTGTCATAAGAGAGGCAACGTTGCCTCTTTCGAAAGTCCTGTTTCCGTTGCCCACAAGCCCGTTGACTTCGTTGTCAACAGCTTGGTGACCTGCCTATGTTCAGATGTTCTTGCAGAGGCGTTGGGCCAGCTGACACTTGCACACGCGTTGCAGGCTGCCAAAAGCACAACCTTGTGGCTCCGCAACAAATGAACCACGCCTGATGAACCTGACTAGCTCTGGCAGATCCCAGCCTTCGCATGCCTTCGCTCATTCACATGCGACGTGGCCCCCTTGATTAAGGACTTTGTCTGCGCAACAAATGAAGTTCTTCAATTTTTTGCAAGATTGACACGTTGCCATTGCGACCAGGGAGCACAGGGAACCGAACCCCACAAATCACAATTCGGGAATTGTTCTTTCAAAAGACTGTCATGTCCCACTGACTAGACATGTCAGAGTTCTTTGTTGTGAGTCGCAAATGATTGATTCCTCTTTCTTCGTTGATTTGACCCAACGTCGACGCCAAGAGTGTGGGGTTAACCGAACGGCCCTTGCGGCCCTAATACACAGGCTTGACTTAGTCCTTCGTGAGTTCAAGGGGCGCACACAACTTGCATGGTCTTAGGCGCTCTTTGGAGAAGAACCAGTACCTATCTTCAATTTCTCTATCTGGTGACGATGAGTGAAGAAGTGAGCGAAGAGTCAGGACAAGCAAGGAAGAGAAAGGGAAACAGATGTTGTTATCACAAAAGCATTTCCATATTCTAGATATAAAACAGAGATGCTTTCCATCTCTTGCATTCCTTTTCTCCATTTTCCTTATCTCTCATGTCACTCCCAAGGCTACGAAAAGAGAATGGGAATGACAGGTAAAGATCATTGGGGAAGAGATAGAGAGTGAACGGTTAGACCAAGAGCTGGGACAATAATAAAGACATTCCAGCCCGTCTATTCACTCAACCCCTTCTCTTGGCTCCCCCTTTCCCAAAGTACCTTACATCTGTGGAAGAGATTGGGAAAGAGAAGCTGAATAAAGGTGAAGAAAGAGGAATTCATTTGTAACCGCCGGAAAGACTTTCCTTTCTCCTTTCCATTCTCACCGTTGCAAACGGCTAGGAAAGAAGAAAAATGAAGAGAATTAGAATGAAGAACCCAGATGACATGAAAGACATTCTGGGTTCTATCACATGACTACGGGAACCGAGATGGTTGGATGGCCATCCATCTCCTTCCCTACTTTCTCATGTCCTCCATCTCAGCTTCAAGGACGGAATAGCAATGAAAGGGAGACAAGGTGGTAAGATAGGTTGGTAAGATAGAGGATTGAGATCGGAGTGTTGTGGCTGGCCAATTATACTGCAGCTCTGACAAGTGAGTGAGTGATAGGGATGACAGAGAGACTGATGTAGGCAAGAGATGGAAAGGTCATAAGGCCAGATTGTCATCCTCCCCTCTCGCCAGAAAACTTGGCATATCTTCACTTTCCAAGCATATCTTTTACAATCCTCATCCATCTCCCAGCCAAGTGAGATTTTCCTCTCTTGCCCTTCTCTCCTCTCTGTACCTCCCATCACCCAACCTCTGCTTGAGAAAAAGAGTTGGGGTGATAAGGGGAAACGAGAAGGGGGGAGAAATAAGAAATTGGGATTCCTTATAGCCCGTCCTTCCTTGACTTGGGATCTTATTGGTAGGCATTTCCTGTCTAGAATCTCCAGACCCAATTTAAAATGGATTGTTGTAAATTGAGACATTGGAAGGTACAGTCTTATCTCTTGGTCATTTCTGTATCACCTATTAGTCACTGTCATGTCTCTATTTTGCTCCATGGGCAAAAAGACTTCTGAAGTTCATGACATCAATAATCGCAAGGAAACAAGTAAACATGAGATACGCTAATATAGATTGCAAAAACCGATGGGTGAACAAGTTCTCTGCTTAAATTCCTCTGCGCAAGTTCCCTAAGCAAGTTCTTTCGGAAAGTGTCTGTGCAACTTCTCTACGCAAGATTTGCAAGCAAGTTCGCTGCGCATGTTTCTCTGTGCAAGTTCTGTGCGCAATTTCTCTGTACAGATTTCTCTGTTGTAGTAGAAACTTGCAGCTTGCCAACAGAGCTGCGAGAACGCACTGCGCCTACATTCCACATTCTGGCTGACCAAGGGGGACCTGCCGATTCGTGGGGCAGGTGAGCACAAAAGCGACGCAACTTTCAAAGCTTCAACCACCACAAACGCGCAAAGCGTTCGGGCGCTCTGCACACAGTTATTTCTTGATGCAACATGATGTAACAATAAATCCTCACATGTGTGTAATTGTGTGCTTGGTCAGAAGACGAAAGTGGATGAGCCAAACATCAAAAACATGTGGCGCCGGCATAGTTTGACTTCACCTTACGGATTCACTTGCTAAACCGCCAAAGTGTGTCTAAGTTGTACCATGATTGCACCCGTAATACGCATCAGCTCATAGCAGCAAGTAATTCTCCTGCACCCATACTGCGGCTCAGTAGCTCTCATGAAACACCTTGCTGGCGCAGGAATTCTGATTCGAGATTTAATTTGGGATTTGTTGTTTTATTTTGGGATTTTTGTTGTCCGTCCTGGCTATTAAAATGCAGAAATTGACAGCATTTTCTTGCGAAATGTGCGTATTCTACGCTAGTCCGTCAACATCATCAGCATCGTTTTCAACATCCCCCTCATGTCCAGCCAACATTTGCAGCATTACCCAACCCCCCCGTGGCTTCCTACATCTTCAGCATCATTAGTTCCTCCGGCAAGGTAGGTAGGCATTTATGTATGCATGCCAAAAAGAGGGGCAGGTCCCTGTCGTAATGGTAAAAATGAGGATTCAATTACGGGCAAACTAATCCCTGTAAAACACCTAAAACGGCGGCAGCCCCCCCAAGATCATTGAAAAAGTGATGGTGCATTCTAGTCTCTGCCAGAAATCCAAAAAGCAGCGGGGGGGTTGGGGGCGGCCCTCATGGCGATCAAAAAAGTGATGATTCAACTAGGGGCACAAAAATCGAAAAAGCAGCAAGGCAAGGCTGGGGGGGGGCAGCAGCCCCTTCCCCGTGATGATCGAAGTAAAAAGTAGCGGGGGGGTTGGGGGGGGGCGGGGCGGCAGCCCCCCCATCATGATCAGGAAAGTGATGATTCAATTAGGGGCAAAGAAATACAAAGCAGCTGGGAGGGGCGGGGGGCAGTCTTTTTCACGATGATTGAAAAAGTGAGATTCACTTAAAGGCGTGGGGGGGTTGGGGGGAGGGGGGTGTGTTTGGTTTTTTACACCATTGATCTCCCGCAACCATTTGGCTCAAGGCCCTCTTGTAAATAGCGTCTTGCATTCATGCGATAGCAGTACAAAGGCTTGCAGAGACCGCTTACAGGAGTACCAGTCAATACAAGCCACCAGGGACAATCCATCCTCCAATCATCCACATTGGCATATTGGACTCTCTCCGGAATAGATGCAGGGACCAAAACAACAACCTCTACCAGTTCCCTTCTGGGATAAGCACCTGAGGCAGCGGGCCTCAATTTGTGGTAGCGGAGCGGGTTTTCC